AAAGAATTTAGGGTGCCTTTTAAAGGCATCTTTAAGGGTTTAGGGTTCCTTTAAAGAGATCTGTAAGGGTTCCCTTACAGGAGTGCAAGGAGGGCTCCCTTAGAGGGCTCGGGCTCTTATAAGGGATCTATAAGGTTTAGGGTTTAGGGTTTATCCATGAGGGTTCTTATAGGGGATCTATAAACTTTCGGGTTTAGAGTTTCGGGTGTGGGGCTGAGGGATTTGGGGCTTAGGGGTTTTGGGGTTGAGGGGTTTAGGGTTTTGGGGGGATGGGGGTGTCTTTCTGATGGCTATACGATATAAACGACAAAAATAACTGATAGTCACAACATTATTGAGGATACCAACACCAATAACCATCATAACCCTGAAGACACTGTTCATAATGATGACAGCAATCAGAACAAAACAAAAGTAAGAGTAGGATAAGAGTGAGAGTAAGAGCATAGTAAGAGCAATAACCATAATACTAATAAGGTCAAGAAGAAAAAAGAAACAATAACTAGGCAGAAGAATGATGAACACTAATAGCAAGACTAAGAATAATACTAATGGTATCGATACTAAGAAAATGATAATAATAGTAGCAAACGTAATACTAGTAATAGGAATAAGAACAATAATAATGACAATTTGAAATTATGATAATAAGTGGGGTAATAATCATGACGAAAGTAATAAAGCTCTGAACATAGTAAGACGAATAACGACAACAACCAAATATACATAGTAATCATTATGCTGCTAGATTGCTTGTGTTTGTGTTGAAGGGGCCTGCATGGGGATCTGGGTTTTAGGGCTTAAGGCAAGGCGTCTTGTGAGGACTTCTGCTGCGCCCCGTGACAAAAACCTGAAGCCCTAAACCCTAAACCCTAAACCCTAAACCCAAAGCCCTAAACCCTGCATCCTAAACCCTAAACCCTTCTTTACCCTAAACGCTATAACCCTAAACCCCAAGCCTAAACCCTGCATCCTAAACCCTTTAAAGAGGTCGGGACTCGAGGTCTCTCCGGGGCCTCAGAGATCCCGAAGGTCCCGATCTTTTCCGGAACATCTAGGGCTTAGGGTTTAGGATTGAGGGTTTTGGGCCTGCATAGGGTTCAGGGTCTTGGTTTAGGGTTTAGGTTTAGGGTGATTATTGAGGACCACCTAGGGTTTAGGATTTACGGTTTACGGGTCAGGTTCAAAAGCTCTTGGGATCCGTTGACAACAACCCTAAACCCTAAACCCTAAAACAGGACCCTAATCCCCAAGACTGTGAGAATAGAGAAGGGCTCGCCCAACTCTTCGTTCCTCGTTTTGCAGCTTCGGGCTTTCAGGGATTAAGGGTTTAGGGTTTTAGGAATTTTAGGGTTTTAGGGTTTAGGGTTTAGGGTTTTAGGAATTTTAGGGTTTTAGGGTTTAGGGTTTAGGGTTTTAGGGCGGTTTTCGGGGTTTAAGGGTTTAGGGCTCCGAATCTTTATATGGGATCCTTCAGTGCGCATTCAATTCGTGGTGCTTGCAAGCTTCATTACACAGACCGCCTGAAAGGAGCCCTAAGAGGAACCCCTGTAACTCCCGTAAAGGAGCCCGACACGGAACCCGTATAGATCCCTCAAGGGAGCAGAGCAATAGAGACCCAACCCGAAGAGACCTATCCTTGAGCCATATAGTGGTAGGATACCTTTGTCGGAGGTCCAGTTCTTGCATCCTTTAAAGCTTACCGTCCCTTCAAGGGTTCCTTTAAGGGAATAGGGCTAAGGGTTCCTTTGAAGGGTTCCTTCAAGGGTTCCCTTTATGGGGTCACTCGGTGGGCGCTAAACCCTAAACCCTAAACCCTAAACCTTAAAACCCTAAACCCTAAACCCTAGCTGCAGTCCGGGGGCAGCTCGCCCAGCGAAGTGCGGCCAGAGGATGCTCACCGCATCGACGCCGGAGCTGCAGGGACTTTCGCTTTGTGGTTAGGGGTTTAGGGTTTTGGGTTTTGGGTTTACAGTTTAGGGTTTAGGGTTTTGGGCTTAGGGTTTACAGTTTAGGGTTTAGGGTCTAGGTAGTAGGCATATATCCGTAAGGCTCCAGGTACCTATGTAGTACATACTAAGGCCTGATAAAGTACCTTTGAAGGCCTAAGCCAAGCACATGCTACATCAGCACATGAAGCCTCAGGGTATGTGCATGCACACACATCGTCTTTGGGAAGGCGGTGTTGACAGGACTTAGATTTCTTGGTCCAGGGCTCTGTTAGGAATGTTGTGCAGGATCTTCCGGGTTCTTGTTTTAAGCTGCGTTGGCACTTGCCGGGAACTACTGTTCATGATATAAATCCTGCATTATCCATGATAAGGAATATACTAGAACTCCTAGAACGTTAGGGTCCATAAAGTAACCCTAAACCCTAAACCTTAAACCCTAAACCCTAAACCCTAAACCCTAATTTATATTTTCAACCGTATGAGTCTCTGCATGATGGAGATTGGAAGGCTTGGTGGCAGCTGTCTCGGGTTGTGTCGGGTTAAAGTAGAAGCCAGACAGTTGGAACAAAGTTCAGGAGGATTCGTGCTAGGATCCCTTATACTTTACCTTACGGGCATGGGGATAATAATGTTCCAACTTTCTGGCTTCTACTGTCAGGCTTTCAGGATTGAGGGTTTAGCGGTTTAGGGATTGCTTGCTCTCAAAGGGCCTTGAGTGGTTCCCCAGACACCCTCGAAGCAACCATAAAGCTAGAAACCTAAAACAGCCACGGCTTAGGGTTTAGGGGTTTAGGGTTTAGGGTTTAGGGTCTCGGGTCTAAAACAACCCAAAGATCAGCACCCAACATCCTCCAATAGGTCTTTCAAAGTGCTATGACACCCTTATTTGGACCGGATAAACATCTGTTGTAACCCTCCTCCCCAAACCCTCAACCCTGCACCCTACACTCTAAACCCTAAACTCTAAACCCTAAAACCCTAAACCCTAAACTCTAAAAACCTAAAACCCTANNGCCCCCCCCCCCCCCCAGCAAAAGATCGAAGCGCAAGCATCTCCCAGTCCTGGTAGACCAGGTCCCCGACGACACGCCGCACCGGCGCCGGGGTTGCAGACGAACTTAACCTTGCACCGGGTTGCAGTATGAATGCTTCTGGTACCCCTATTTAGGGACCTTAATAGTAATTAGAATA